CTTCATCTTAGGTCAATAAATGAAAACATCATATGATCGCAACATTGGTTCAACACCATAATCACTGGTTCGTAAAACATTTGACAACACGTTCATCCTTTCATGTGGCCTCTACCCAGATTTCTCAATCATTGAACTCTTTGTATAGTGTTAAGAGATTTTGTAGGACATCACAAGAACACATAAGAACAAAGCTCAGTGGGAATACAAGTGGGATGCTTTGACTTGTTAGCATCAATAACCAGAATAATGTAACTGTATGATGAACAAAGCAATTATGTATTGTCATCTCCACTGTCACTGTTTAACCATTTTCATTCTTCATATCTTTCTATCTCATTGGAAATATTTTCTCAAATCAATGATCTTGACACAGGATGATATGAGCCTTCAACATGCTCCAACATTTGCTGATATGAATGTTCAAAATACATTCAAAAATTATTTCTTGCTAATGTGAGCCTTTAAAATGAGCTTTTGAAATGCCCCACATGGATCATTCTTATCTAAAATGGGCCTTCAAAATGTCCCAAATACTAATGTAAGCTTTCAAAATGCCCCACATAGATTATTTCTATCTGAAATAGGCCTTCAAAATGCCCCAACATTCTATTTCTGGTTGAAATGGGCCTTCAAGATGTCCTAACATTCTAAACTGTAAAGCTTACTCTCAATGTTTATTGCATTTGAATCTCATGATCCCCAAGAGGTCCAATTTGGATAATGCCCCATTGTGGGTATTCGTAGCTCTATTCGTGACCAAATTTGTTGATCTTGAATGTTCTCATTACAGTGTTACTAAACAACAATGTTGTTAGGTAACTTGAGAGATTTTATTCATGTTGTCACAAACTTAAGAAGTGATCAATCATTCTAACAGAAATGTCTGAGATATGTGCATTTTCTGAATAAGGTGGTCATTTTTTGATTGATTGGTTGCATTCTTGCCTTTTTGCTATGCACTGGGATATGTGACATTTTTTTTCAAACGAGACAATCATCCTCTTCTTATCAGGTTGCTGATAATGTCACAAGAGAGTGTTACAAGCTCTCTCCTCTAGTCCTCATGATCTTCCGGACCACTTGCTTTCAAGAATGTGAAATGCTTCATCATTTTGGCATCGCTCATCTTTTTCTCCAATAGAGGTAGAATAGGCGTTAACTTGCTTCAATGACCTTCATCATTTGAGTCTGTCCTATTTGAAAATGGTTTTTCTCCTTTCTTTATCAAAGAATGAAAGAATTTTGTAAAGTATTACTTCTTACAGGTTTATAATTGAATCAAATCATAAAACATGAGTTTAATAAATATAAAATAAATCAATTACTCTTTTAAATCATTCAAAAATCATAGTTCTATGACAATTATCAAAATTATTGACTGAGTTAAGGTGTAGGTTGATTTTGGTAAAATAAGGTCTCTAAGGTTGGTACATCATATATGTCCCTTTGAGCGTCCACTAATCTTGAAAAAAATGGTTGTTATTCTCATTTCATCGAGATACTTCTTGATTCTATAATCTTAGGAACATCTTTGGGATGTGTGGTGCTTCATCAAGAGTTTAAGATCGTCTCTTATGTCGTTGTTGCACCATTCAATATTGTAGACGCCTTTTCAGGTTTTCAATTCGAATCCTCATTTGGCTTCAAGATGTTATTCATAATTTACATCTTGAACCCCCCCTTTATTATATCATGTATTAAAGATTTTAAAAACCAAATTTTGCAAATAAAAATCAATCCTGAGAAACGGAATGAAATCCGAAGATAGTCTATTTTACTTAGAAATCCATGTATGATTAGAATGGACTTTTCAGGTACGTAATGTAGGCCAGGGCTAATGGTTACGAAAGAAATGAATAAAAAGGCTCAAATAAGTGTTTAAGGGTAATTGAACCAATGATCAATTCACTATGATGCCTTCAATCCTGCATTGCTTGACTTGGATCTGCTTTGCTACTTGTCTTTCATCATTTCTTTTTCTGGATCCGTCTAGACTGTCAATTTTTGGGTTCATTTCCATTTTCTTATATCTCCAGCATTTCTTGCGCTTCTTGTTGAAATGAATCTTTGAACTAATTGCACTTGATCAACCTTATAACTGGAGGCTCAATAAATCACCCATCTTGATTCAATATCTTTTCTTCTTCATTTTTCTCTTTTTTTTTCTTTTTTTTTTCATTTTTTTCATTTTTTTTCTTTTTTTTTCTCTTTTTCTTCTGATGGATGAGTATAGGACTTCAATTGTTTTGAGCACCTCATTTTCCTCTTGCATTTCAAAAATTCTTTCGTTATTCTTGACTGGATTTGATCTTCAAGAACTTTGTATTTGACCTACATTGTGGTTCAAAACTTTCTTTACTTCATGAAGATTTGCCTTCATAATAAAACTGGATTGACGATCTTTATTCATGTGAGCATATATCCATCACCTTGCCCCCCAATATGGAGGGTGATCCTTGGTTAGAGTTGTATCAGAAGAAAAATCATTCAGACTCAAATGGGGACAACAAATGATATATTTTTCTCCTTTTGCGAAGGGATAAATGAAATAAAGTCGTTCATCATTTCATACACAGAAATCTTTTTGAAAAGAGGTATCTCCAGGGGGATGAATATTCAGAATTAATTTTTATTTACATGAAAACAATGTAATTAATGCATGATATAATTATTTAAATCAATCCCCTTATTTCTTCTTCTTCTTATTTCGAACATGCCCCAATTACTTCAAAATTCTTTTTGACAAGTTGATTCATGATGTCTTATCTCATTTCTTTTTGCAGGAAGATTCATGGATAATTGAAAGTTTGATACTTTTGAGGTCTTTTGGTTTCACCGATATGACAGTTTTGTATTTGAAATGACAAAGGTGTGACTTTTGAAGTCATGTATATGGTGGAAGGTAGTGTTATAAACAAATCAACTCTACCCGAGAAGGTAAACATATGGATTTGGTATCTCAAAAATAGGTAGAGACATTACTTCAAAGTCTCAGATAAATGTAGTGTCAGGATTTGGTTTTGGTAAGGACAAAAGTAGATCAAGTATTTGTATTTCTGGCATTGTATGGGATTTGAAAGGTCTAATTTTACCACTTGCAAAAGATCTATAATTCTTGAAAAATTAAAAGAATATTTAATTTACTTGATACTAAAAAACATTTCAAGATTAAAATTTGATTCCTTGCTCATAACCATAAAAACAACATAAATATACAAGAAGATTGAGAAAAAACAAGTTCAAACAAGATGTTGAAAAATAAGATAAAGCTCCATGACTGATAAAATGATATCTTCTTTGATTAAGATGCCTCATTACTCATCTAATGCGATGACAATTGACTTAATCATGCTTTGATGCCCCACTTGAGCTTGTCATCCATTGTTCCACTAATTCTCGTGTCAATGTCCCATTAGCAACAAACATCTCTATCTCCTTTAACAGTGACCTACGATTCCCCATTGAATGTCCAAGTACCCCTAAGTGGAAATCACAAACACTATCTTGATCATAGCTATGAGAAGAAGGGTTTGGTGACACTTTTATTGGCCTTGATGTGATGTATTGACTCTCAATCAAATGAGGGTACAGATCTGAGATAGAAGTTTGGAATACCTCCAAAGTATTTCTTGATCGTGAGATTTTCTTTGGTTAGTATGAACCACTAATTACTCATTTTCTTTTACGGTTACGGGGATTATGGATATGACATTTATTCACATCATCAGCTTTCACTTTTTGATCATGTGGGCTTTTAGATGTGACTTTTAAGTTTCCTTCTCTAATTGCATTTTCAATCAATTCTCCACTTGTCACAAGATACTTAAATCCATCCCTCGAACTTGTCAGCATTAACTCATAGAAAGGAGCTAGAAAGAAATCATGAAATATATATGATATCTCTTCTTCTATCATGGGGAGGTTGAACTTGTGCTGCCACTTCTCTCCATCTTAAGGTATATTCTTTAAATCTTTCATTGGATTTCATCCTTATTTTCTTGAAGATCCTTACATTTGGGAGCTAAGCCTTTAACATATCAATATTTTCCCAAAAATGCATCAGCTAGATCAACCCATCTCTTGATATGTTCTTGATTCAAATGAGTGTACCACACTACCGTTGGCCCAACGAGACTATCATGGAAGGAGTGAATTAATAAATCATCAAAATTTAGGCACCCTTCCATTTTTTTGCAAAATATTCTTAGGTGGATTAAGGGACAACTGGTTCCATCATATTTCTCAAAATCAAGCATCCTGAGTTTATAGGGAATAACCAAATCTGGAACCAAACTGATTTCTCTTGCTTCTAGTTCTTCGTGAGAGGCATTAACACCTTTCATAGCTCTGATTTCTTCCTCCACCTACTTGAATCCCTCCTCATGTTGTGCATAGTTATTGAGGTTATTCTTTAGGTTCGAGTGGGATGCCCAGGGTATGTTATCATTCTCGATGCATTAATATGATAGCACTGTTGCTCTTTAACGGTCATCACTTCTTCATCAGCAGTCTTAGTTTCCATTACTTGGACCATATGATTCGATCCATCTTGTAGAGAAATGTTTCATTACTTGTATCTTGATGTAACCCATCAAACTGTTCTTGCAATTAATCTTGTGATCCATCATGAGATTTCTCCATGATGATACAATATGAATGAGTGATCTCCGTTTTACTATTACAAAACCTTTCATAAACTATTTACATGCTCTTATAATTAGTGAATAAAATAATACTTAAATAAATAATTATGATGCAAATGCAAAAATGCAGAAATGAGAATGCAAATTATGCAATGCAAATGTATGTACGCAAAAAGGTATCATTCAAGAGTGATAATCTTAAAACAACTTTCATTAAACATAAAAAGTTTTGATACATCAAACAAAACTTTACATATAAATGATAGCTTTAACTCCTAATTTCTATATTTCCCTTAAAAGCCATACTAAATTCCACTCATACTCAGGTGTAGAGTTGTCAATCTGCCTTAACTTTTACGTAAAGCCAGCTAAATCAATCAGTTTATGAGCCACATTGCTTGTGTGGGCAGCAACTTCCTTTATGACATTGTCTTTTTCCTTAATCTTGCATGTTAATTCTTGGATTTGTAGACAATATTGTTCATTTTCTCTTGTAAGAGAACTTTTGTGATCAATTAATTCTTGTACAAGATCCACAAATTTTATCAATTTCTTATTTCTGGCTTTAGTGACTTCTAGTTCAGCTTCAATCTCACACTGATGGATCTGATATGAATCTTCCATGTTGATTATAACCATATTCAACATTTGATTTTCGGCTTGACATCTTTCCAAATTGATGATAGTTGTATTGAGCATTTCTTCTGCAACCCTTAAATCATGAGAAAACTTCTTAGCTCGATCTTCTTGTGTCATGCAATTCTTTTTCACTTTAATGCCCCCTGTTATCCACTCTTCCAGGGAATTTCCCATACCAGCCTTTTAAAAGGTTTGACTGATCTTTTGGAAATTCTCACGCATGGTTTCCATTTCTGCACTCAATTTATCATTTTCAATTTTCAAATGATGCATTTGAGCCTCATATTTCTGCAGATCTTCTTCCTTCTGGATGCCCCCAATGACACTCTTACCTTTGAATACTTTTGATATCAACCTGATAGGATAATCAGTGACCAAACTAGGTTGATTTTTTAACTCGAATTCTAAAATTCCATAATCCAAAAGATGTTGGACTCGATGCTTGAAAGATGTGCAATTCTCAATAGAATGTCCTTGAATTCCAGCATGATATTCACAACGAACATTGATGTCATACAAATTCAGATATGGAGGTTGCCACTGTTTCATATAATGCGGAGCCACTTCTCGCACCTCTAATAGTTTTTCATACAACTCCTTATATGATATAGGTATATCATCAAAATGAGAACTACATTTCGTCTTGGATTTATCTTGAGTTTCTGACGTTGGGAAAAGACTCTTAAATATAGATGAGTTCTGATTGCATGACTTCTTTTTATTTCTGGAAATTTCTACAGTTGTCACTATTTCCTTGATATTTCCAGATAAACTGTTGATACGGATGTTGACTGTGCATAATTTATCAAAATGATTAGGATCAGAAGTCCCTTGTATATCTGAGATTGCAGGATTAGGTTCATTAAGCTCTATCTCTTTTTGTGCATGAGTTTCTTTTCCTTTGGTCAAAACATATATTCTATCTATCATCTTGGACATTTGCTCTCTTATCTCTCGTATCTCCTTTTGCTCTTCAATGGACATACAAACTTTGGGCACATAGCTTTCTTCTATCCTTGGAGCTTCCTTAGGATGCCATTCCTTTGTTGCGTCATAGTTCACTTGATCATGAGACCCTTTGTCCATAAAGAAAATCTTAATTTTTATGACCACTCTCAAATCAGCACCCTTGATTATGCCATGATTATGCAATGCAAACAAAAGAAATCAATATAAACAAGTTAGGACAAAATATATCTATATAAAAGATAAAAAATGGTTAATACCAATTAATAGAAAAAATATCATATATATCCTAACCTCGGGCTTTCTATGTTCCATGCCTTATTTGAAAAATAAACCTAACCACATGATTTCTAGTTCACATATATTTATTCAGAAAATAAAATAATAATGTGTAAATTAAAAGACTCAACATGCTTTTCCTTGTGTGCTAACCTTAAAATACTTAGTCGTGTTAGGTTCAACATAGACTCAAGTTCTAGGTTTATTATATGCTAGGTTCTAGCTCTAAGGTAAAAAGGGTCAACGAATTGTCCTTTGTTGGTGCCTCCTTGGACTACCAAGCCCTCAATCCTGGTCCATTACAAACTTTCAAATTGAGTTCAATTCAAAGGAACACACTTCCTTATATCCATACGGAGGTGAAAACCACACGAGGAACATAAGTTGTGAGCTCAAGGAATGGTCTCATATCCCATACGGAGGTGAAAACCACACGAGGGAGTAGTTTCTCATTCAAGCTAAATAGTATAGAGCGGGGTTTTAACTCATGTCATGAATGCAGTGCACAATGGGTGAGGAAAAGCATAAAAAGGAAAATAATGTACACCCTACTAATTTATTCTAACGACCTATAATTAAATTTGTACACATAAAAAACAAGTTAGTATGACTATTAAAATAATCAAGGGATAAAAAAACAAAATTAAAACAAATTTATAATTTTATTGCAAAGACAATTATTTAATAAATTGGTGGCTTGACTCTCTTTAAAAAATGTCCCCAGCAGAGTCGCCAAGCTGTCGATACCGTATTTGCCTGGTGAAAACAAGTGTCATTATTTTCTAAATCTTGTCTCGAAAAAAATAAGTATTTTTCTTCTAGCATAAGATAAAACACAATTTTGAGGAGTCGCCACCAATCATTTATTGAGGTGTGATTGGTCACCAAAAATGCTATGTTATTTTAATAAAATTTCTAAAAATATTATTAGAATAACACAAAAAAGTTCTGCTTACTAGAAAATGAGTTCGAGAGTCGCTTACGTGTGGGGAAGGATTAGCACCCCCACAACGCCCAGAATTGGTACCTTGGTTTATTAATTAATTATCTTTGCAATAAATTTACAATTTGTATTTAATTTCAATTTCTGATCCCATAAAAATATTAAGGACATTATTTTATACCAACAAATCATTTAAAATACTTTCCTAATTAGTTAAGGAAATATTTTATGACTTATTGTATAAAATAAAATAACCATATTACATATAATAATTGTAATGATTAAAATATGAAAATACTAAAATTTTATGTTACTATTAATAAATACTTAATATGCAAAGTACTATAACAGTAAATAATTCTAAAAATAATATTTAAAATTATTATTTTAAAACTAAAGGATTAAATTAAAAAAATAATAAAAATCATAATCCTAATTCAAAATATTATAAAAACTAGGTACTAGTAATGTAATTTAATCATAGATAATAATTCGGGTTAAAATATAAATTATCAAAATCTAAAGGATTAAATCTGATATTTATCCTAAATATATAATCATAATTAAGTGACTAAAACATAACAAGATAAAATCTAAAAACCAAATTAAAATGCGTAAAATATGATTTCAGTGACTTAATTATAAAATTACAGAACCAGAGGGACCATATATATGATTTCCCCATACCCATAATTATACAGAGGCCCCTCCCCAAAACGATATAGTTTTGAGGAGGGAATAAATAGGCCTTAAATGGTTATTTTTCCTCATTTTTCTCTTTTGCTTCTCTCCTAAGGAGAGATAAGCTCTCCATTCCTCTCTAAACGCCCTCACCGGAGGGAGAGCCGGTCACCGGTAGGCCACCGCCCGACCACCTCCAAGCACTATTCTGGCCACCACCGGTTACTATTCCGGTCACTAATCTAACCGCCACTCACTATTCGCAGTGGCCGGAATATATAAAAGTAGCTCAAAATATAGATCTCTTAACCCTCTACCCGAATCCAAGCTTCTATTTCGCTAAAAGCTAGTCAATCGGTCTGAGATTTTACCTCCGGTAAAATCACTTTTCCGATGACGTTTGAGCTTCGACAGAGGTAAGATCTCTTCTCCTTTCTTTTTGCTTTCGGCTTGCTTTGGTTGCTATGTGGTGTTCTCTTCCGCTTTCATTTGCTTCTCTCCGTGTATCTTTTTCTTTGTAGGTTCGTCAAGGCTTTTTATAGGCCTCCAGTGGTGTTGTTTGTTCGGTGAGTCACCGGATCTACGATGGTGACTCACCATAGAGCAAATAGGTGTGCGGCTAGTTTTTCTTCTTCTGGAGTCTTCGGTTCGACATGGCAATCACTGGTTGAAACACTTGGAGGCGGCGACCGAAATCACCCTAGGGTTGTTGAAACCCTAGGGTTTCTGCTGGACGATTATGGGCCATTGGATCTCTCCAGATCCAACGGTTGAGATCTGTGGTGGCTGGAACTGAGATGTGTGAAACCCTAACTGGGTTTGGGCTTCTTGAGCCAACTCTTGTAAATGGGCATTCAGGTTATTTTATATTTGGGCCTCTGTTTTGTAATAATAATAATAATAATTGTAATATAATAATAATAATATATAGTCTTGGACGAAAATGGCAATCGACAATAAGTAGTGATCAAAATGCATAAAATAAAAGAATAGTAGATAAATTAGAAATAAACATGGACTAAAATGCATAAAATAAAAGAACAGTAGCTAAATCAAAAATAAACGGTGACCAAAATGCATAAAATAAAATAACAGTAGCTAAATCAGAAATAAATGTTGACCAAAATGCATAAATTGAAAGTATCACATCAAATTCATAAATAAATAAAGATAACAGAACTAATTAGTGACTAAAATGTAATAACATAAAATTCAGTGATCAATTTCAAATAAGTTGCAAAATAAAATAGTGACTATATTAAAATAAAATAAAATAAAAGCAGAGTATCGAAATCGAAGAAAATGAAAAGAGTGTACTTGGTGACTAAAATACAAAAACTTGGTAAATTTCAGGGGACCTATATGGTGATTTGACCCTAAAACTAGTGACTAAGACATAAAAAAAGGTGAAACTGGAGGGACTAAAATGCAAATATCCCAAAAATTTAATATTAACCCTAATACGTTAATCTATAAAAATCTAAAATTAAGCCTAAAACAAAATTAAGCTCATCTTCCTCTCACAAAATTAGAGTTTGAGAAAGTTGTACGTTTTGTAATTAGCGAGTTTCATTAAATTATTTGTAATTACATTTTATTAATTAAATACATTTAATGAATTAAAATTTGTTATAATTATATGAGGTTCTAGATTCAAACGAATGTGTATGTAAGGTGTGTGAACATGGTGAATAATTAAATAAGATTACAAATATATATTATCTTATAATCGTTTTAAACTATTAAAAACATTATACTTTTTTAAAAAAAAGAAAATTATACTTTCTTTTTTTGAATTACAAGAGAGCAAATCAGTAAAACTTAGTAAACTGCAGATGGCGAAATACCGCTCCTTTCATGCTGATAAACGACAAAAATCTCTGCTGGAGGTCTCTATAAGTGACAACCAAAGGGCAAACTCCATGCTAATTTCGCCATTCCATCGGCAACTTGATTCCCTTCGCGAAACATAAGCATTGCCATCAAATTCCAATCCCTATCCCTGAGTTCAGACAGATGCGATACCAGATGAGACTGTAAATCCGTAGGCTCCCATGTTTTAGCATCGAATGTAATTCCTTATTATTAGTCTCCACAATCACACTCCGAAATCCGAAGTCCCAAGCCATACCAAGATCTTCAAGAATTGCCCAAATCTCGGTATCCAAAATAGAACACGTTCCAATCGCTTTTGAGAATCCGCCTAGCCAATTTCCATGCTCATCGCGAATCACACCGTCACAAGCTGACTGACCCGAATTAGTTCGATGTGCCCCATCCCCTCAGGGGGCCACTCCATCTAACT